AATTTTTGCGGTCGGGCAAAGATCAATGCGAAATTCGGGCAAAACGTTAAAATTTCGGGAAAATTTTGATATGTTGTGGAAAAAATTTTGTGTTTCCGGAAAATTAGTTGATGTTACTGAAAATTTTATGATATGTCCGGAAAAATTCCCTGGGATATGAGATAAAGTCCCTGGAAAGCATCGCAACACTCATCCAGAAATTTTTTTTACTCCAGGAAAAATTTTTTACCCCTAAAATGGTACACAGACAGAAAATATTTTGGCGACGGGGGGGTGGGAGGTTGTTCTCCGGAAAAAATTATTTCCGGGCCCCCACTAACCTCTCGGCGGCCCTGGTTCGGGCAAACTATACTGTGCCCCCCCCCCCAAAAAAAAAAAGATTAGCGTACGCCCATGGAATAGCCGTGTTGGAATTAGCACCCACGCCCGGGCTCACGTCCGTTGGATCAGGAATAAACTGCATATTGCAGGATTCGAATCCTAATCACAAACGGGAAATGCTCATGCACTAACCACGGTTCCAACAACGTCTTCCGTTTTTCTATCTGCCTAGCTTTGTAAATATAAAGCTTACATGTGGAATAAGATGAAAAATGCCGCTGCCACTGAGTACACCAACTGCAAGAGAAATCATGGCCATTAGAATGGTTTGAAATATCTTTTTCCGCATAAATGGAACCATGACCGCACCCAGTAGTGAACCCATGCTGATAACGGTGACAAATAGGATCCCAAAGCCCCAGGCTGAAAAATAATGGAAGGAAAACAAAAATTAAGAAACCAACAGAAAATTCCTTATTTATAATTTACAGTCTAAACCTATATATAGAGCTTTCTCAATTTGGTGCGGGGCGAAGGAATTGTTAGCCTGTTTCCTAGCGCGCAATAAAAGGCCAAATAGAAATAGATTTCCCAATGAAAATGCTCAAACTTTCCCATACTTGCTTTGTTTCGATATCGTCAACGTTTGCGTTATGAAACCGGATGTTTTCGCAATCTGAGAGCAACTCTAAACCAATAAGGTAAAATTAGAGTTGCAATTCAGACTCAACTCATGTGAAAGGTCAGCGGCACGGTCGGCACCCTCCCTGAGTAGTGCACATCCTTTTTCACATCCTCAGTTCATGCAGCCTACTTTTCTGCTCTTTTCCTCCAGCCGCAGTGCTGTGCTGCGAGAAGCACCTTTATTCATTTGTTATTAAAGAAGAGGGCGTATTCAGAAAGTCTCATATTCTTAAATCTCAAAATAACAACAATATCTCCGTAACTTTAAACATTTTAATTCCAACGTCTTCCTTACTTATCTCTCACAGGTACCAGGGGAGACTGTGGCATGATAACCCAAATGTTTCTTTACCTGCAGGTTATTGACCGCCATGCATGCACTCCTCAGGTGTGTGAAGGTTCGGGAAGGTTTGCTAATGGCACAATGTGAACATCTAAAAAGATTGTTTGTGGTGTTCCGTAGGGATCAATCCTAGGCCCTTGTCTGGATAAAAACACCCTTGTTTATATGCTGATAACAATCAAATTTATTCGCCCAAAATCATCCAACTAAAAAAATATATATTGAGTCGAGGTACAACCTCAAAAGAATGAACTGCGATCTTCCTGTATGACGATGAATAACAAACCGATTCCTTAAGTTCGGTCATTGACATGTCTTGGTGTCGAGCTCGACGAAAATCTTAACTGGAATGAACATATTGAAACGATTTGCAAGAAGGTTGGGGCAGGCATAGGAACAATGAAAATTATTAATTAAGCCGTATTTTCCTGCAAACATCTTGCAAACAATTTATCGCGCGCTGATACAGCCTTACTTCGATTACTGTTCTGCCTTACGGGGAGTTTGTAACAAACAGCTTAAATATAAACTTAAAAACATTTCAAAACCGGCAGCGAGAATTCTAGCAGGCGCTAGCTACGAGACCAGATATGCTGATGTCCTTCTATCCATTGCTTGGGATAATTGAGAGACAAAACAACGCACAACCAAATCAACATTTACAAGGTCCTGAATAATCACACGGGACCGAACTTGAAAGAAACACTATTAATAAAGAGAAATACTATACAAACTAACTATGAGCTCAGAAATGTCCATTCTGATTTAGCCCTTCCAAAACCGAGAAGAGAATTTCTTAAACAAAGTTTCAAGTATAATGAGGCTACACTCTGGAATAGTCTTCAGACTGATGTTGACCTAGTCGAGTTTATTTACTCTTTAATTAAAGAATTTTTGAAACAAAATTATCATTGTGCAACTACACTGTAATATAATATAATACACGGGTCACACCAAGTAACTAATTTCCGTACATTTTCATTTCTCGTATGTAATTCCTGTAAATAGTTTTCTTGTAAATAATTTTAATGGCTTGTCGCCCCTCGAGGAAACCGACAAACTATTGACGATGCTAGCGTCTTTAAATAAAGTTGCCCAACACCCAAACCCCTTCCCCCCTCCCCGCCCCAAACATCTTTCTCAGCCGCCCTATGACATGTATGTTTACATGTATGTTTACTCAGTGTTTGCTCCCTGAGGAATGCGTACATACCCTTTCCCACGTCTTCTTTCCCACCACTCTTGTTTCCTTCTTCTTGCTTTGCTTCTCTCTGACATGCATCTTTACTTAACTCGTACAGAATTGCTGGACATAAATCTGCTAGGCCTGTTTTGTCCACCATTCCATCGTTGTTGGAATATGTTGTCTGGAAATATGCGCTCGAGGAACAACTCTAAAAAGTAAAGCAAGTATAGGGATATAATATTTCATAGGCCCTATACATACTACGTTTCGCGCTTGTGTCATGAGTCTTGGAATCCTAATCACAATGTTTCTTTCTCTAGTCTCTTATAAAGGGTCCACTTTAGTGTATTTGGAAATTATCAATATCCCCCACCCGCTACAAAATCTCTACATTTTCTTCCGGCAAGGGTTGGCAGGCCTGTAATGTTTCCAAGTACATTTATCTAATAATTTTTAACCATTCATCTCGTAGTACTACGCTTTTCTGGGGAAAAAATGTTATAAATATTATATTCGAATAGAACTATGATATACGCGCAAGAAGATTTATTTTTAATTTTATTTTAATTTAAGTCGGCTTTTTAATATCGTGTTTTTAGGTTTTGTTTGGTGAAAGTTGTATTTTTTATAAACTGTCGTATTTTTTTCGCATTCACCGTTAACCGCACCACAAGTAATTTCTTTGTAAAAACTGTAACCGTCATCGGAAAACGGGCAAAAAATGCATGTAAGACTTTTAAACATTTTTTTTCATTCTTCAAATAGTCTTTTCAAAGTAATGAATTTGATGAGCCTGAAAATCGTATGAATATTGGACTTGAAAAACGTAAAGAATGTTAACAAGTTAAGTTTAAATGTTGCTAAAACTGAGTTCAAGCATGGTTATCGGTTCTCGTCAAAGACTTGCAACTGACACTTGATGGCCATGCATGAAATTAATGTTTTCGTATAGGCAAACAGTCCATAGCTCTAAATCTTTAGGACTTTTAAAAAATTGATGAAAACTTGACCTGGAAAAGGCATATTGATGAAATTTCTAAAAATTAAAATTTTTCTCAGCCGCAATTAGCGCTCTAAAGCGAATAAGAAATTAATACTAGTCAAGATACAGCAGCTAGAGTGTAGTATAGGGACTAATTGAACCCACAGAGCTCTTGTTTGGGATGGAATTGGTAGTAAATTGAGTGATAAATTTCAAAAACTTTAAAATAAAGCTCCACGTGTTATAACACGCTCTTCCTATGATGCTTCATCTGCACGTAGCTCCGTACTTGTACGTATCTACATGCAAGATTTGTATTTAACTAGAGTTAGTCACTGTATAGACTCAGAGATTCTAAATAAGGCAAACTGCTTCTCCCTAAACTTAGAACGAATTATCTTAAGCGCTAGCTCCTTCAGTTATAGTGGAGCCTCATTATGGAATAGTTTGCCTGAATCTCTGAAATCATCTTCATCACTTTCATCTTTTAAAATATCTTTAAAAAATAATGTTATTTAACTTTGAGATATTAAAAGAACCGGATATATGTAGGATTGTAAGCTTTCTGATGATGCAAGTCATTTTTGTTGTGATTGCAGATTACAAAATTTCACACTTTCTTGTTGTAATACAATTAATTTAATAGACGATACTAAATCACTGATCACCCATTTGCTCGGTATTGGGTATGTTTTTTGCTTGGGAACGTTTTTTGGTAATTGAGCATCTTTGCATGCATTGAACCACAGAAAATCCATTTCCCAGAGGGTACCACGAAATTGCTTTCTAGGCACTTTTTCGCACAACGGCCCACGGCCTATATATTATCTTCAAATTTTGAGCAAATGATTGTATTTTTTATCCTCGATGACCGTATTTCTGGCATATTTTTGAGAATTCGGTAAAGAATTATGTGCAAGTTATTGCATTTTACGCAAAATTTTAAGATTATGCATGGTAGTTCATAGAGAGATCAAGTATTGCTTTGCATAATGTAACGGCTTTATTTAGCTGATTTTGCTGATCCTATTCAGAATTGGCGAATGGCATTCCACACACATCGCTTGCTTCAACTTGCCACGTCCATACGTATACGTGAACAACGAAGCATACCGTTGAGCTCGGGTTACATAGGCTACTTTAACTCGGTTCTTTTCCTAAGTTCATATTTTATCAAACTTCTTCTCAATAAATATGAGGTCGAAACAAATTAAAGCTTTAATATATTTTTCATGCACTATTCCCTATACTAACAGCTTCCCTAGCAAAAGTTTGTCAGACATTTTATATTATATGGTTCAAGTAAATACAATTTAATACTATATATACTAATACTAAAATGGCTCCATACAGTTTCTTGAAAAGTGGAAAAGACACATTTCAGGCCAAAAAATTTTGTACATTGATATTTTATAGAAGAATGAAACCAGATGTCTTGTATACAGCTATTTCAATTAAGGTTGTCCACGAGCAAAGCGGAAAAGCTGAATACGAGCGCGAAAGGCTGATGGGAATCCCTAAAAAATAGTGAATTTTCATAGCGATTCCCTGCAGCCTTTCGCGCTCGTATTCGACTTTTCCGCTTTAATTTGCTTGTCGACAACCTTAATTGAAATAACTGTAGAACAATATTTTGAGAATCAGGAACTGTAACAGAAAAGTATGTAACTTTGAGAATCAGGAGCTGTAACAGAAAAGTATGTAACTGTGGTTACTATGGCAACAATGACGTTTCAAAATGGCTGCTAATTTGCATTTAAACTACTGTAGTTTAATTCGAAAACAACGTTGTTTATCCCCAATTTTTGTTTTATTATAAGTTTTTGTCTAGTATGAGCAATCATTAGGACAATTTTTAAAAGTTCTGTAGATCCAAAATTTTCATGAAATAAAAGATGGGCGTAACCGGACGTTTTTCGAGTAAAATACGTTTAAGGAGGCTCCTTACAGTTCTTCTTGTTTAACCAATAATTCCGTAAAACAGGCTTATTCGTGCAGAACGCTAATTCTATTGGTGGAAATATTGGTCACCTAAGGAATATTTCGAACTAGATTTCGACAACGTCAGTGTTCTGATGGCAACATAACGAAAGCATAAGGCCTCTCAATTTAACCTATAAATGTGTCGCTATCTCAAAAACGATGCCGGTGACCTATGTTTTTTATTTCATGTATGATGTATCAATAGGAAATGATGATCTGCAATGGAACATTCCCCAATTAACCAAAATTTTGATCTTAACTAGTCTGAACAAAAATTTCATAATAGCTTAAACGAGCATCACAAAATTAGTAATATTCCAAAGTTTCGTTACAAAATGTTGTAAAATGCGGATAATATAGCCTTGCGAAATTTGCAATTTTCAGTCATTTTAGATTACAAACGGGAAATGGTTACCACTTCTGTGCGTAATACAGAGGGGGGGCATTGGGGGGTATTCAATACCGTAATACGGCAAGCAAATTTTGTCAATTACCGCAGCTTTTGAGTCCAAAATTGCAAATACCGTAATACCGCAATTTTCCAAGGAAAATACCGAAATACCGTAAGAAAAATAAGCTAATACCGCCATACCGTAAATACCAATGTCCCCCTCTAATACAAAATGAGTGAAAATTACAAACTTCGCAAGGCTATATTATCCGCATTTTACAACATTTCGCAACGAAACTTTGCGCATATGCGACAAAGTAACCGTCTAACCGTATTTGCCTAACCATATTTGCTACCTCACACGAAATCGTTCAAATAGAAACATGATCAGTGATCACACGCAATGTCACATCCGGAATATTAGTAATATTGGTTAGGTTTCGAAGCGATCACTGGAATTGTGTGCTTTTTTGCTAGTATGCCCTTTTTTGCTGGTATTATGCCTTTATTATGCTTCACTATTCCAGTACCACAACGCAAAGTCTCTCTTACACTATAATGATTGAAAGCGTTAAAGGCTGAAAGAGTAACCTTTGGTAAAATCGTCGCACAAACATATGATGGAGCTTCTACAACATGAGTGGCTGCTACAATGGATTACAAGCAATAGTGCAAAAATAAATTGGCAATCATGTCATGCACACATTGCTATGCTCATACCTTGAACCTGGTCTTATCGGACTCAGATGACGCCCCCTATCAATGTCATCTCCATTTTTAGCAATCTTGAAAAGATGTATTTGCTCTTCAGCAAGTCTTAAGAAATTCACCAGTTGTTCGAGACAGTTCAAAGGAAATAAAAGCTAATATAAAAGTCTTTTCATTGAATTGAAGCGCATTAATGCGGTACGGTGGAGTGCTAGTTTTTCTTTTGCGATACAAGTGTGTGATGCAAGTTCTTAAACAAGTTGAGGCAAATCGGTTACATTCAGTACACACGCCAGATCAACTGCAAAAGGGATTCGATCATCCTTTGAAACGTAGCCATTACTGGTCCGTTGAGTCGGTGTTTATAGAGTGTGAGTCAACGTAGATTTCGGCAAAGCGTTGGGTTTGATTGATACAGCACTTTCACACCTACAAAGATCATCGAAACGACTGCGAAACGGTGGATTGGAAAGAAAAAACAGTTCACCGACACAGAGTAATGGATGGAGATATTGCTACGGACGAACCAGCGCAGAGCACCGAAGATGAATGGGAACGAGAAACGTTTTATGTTGCCACGGACACGGTGATCAACTCGATGAGAAATCGTTTTGAGAAAAACCGACCATTGCTGCAATTTCTCGCATTGATCGCTGCGCTCGTTTGTAAAATATTGTTTTCTCCACTCGAAGATAAAAGTCATATCTTTGCGCCGCCGTGTAATATTCTCTATATACACCTCAATTATCGGTCTAGCTACGGTCCTGAAAGTAAAACTAGCTTCTGCACGATGTACCACATCGACTCGCACCGATGTCCAGATGAACTGTTCAACTTTGCAGAATCTTTAAAAAATTCAAGTGTTCTGCAGTGTTTTTTAAATGAAGACAAAGAAGAAGAGAAAGATTCTAATTTAGATTCCGGTTCTGAATCTGAAATCGAAGACCACGAAGAAGAATTCGAATCCGACAGCGAGTCAAGCGACAATGGAACTGCTGAAGAACCAAATGACAAGGATAAACTATCATTTCTAGAAGCTTTGAGAATTTTGTTCAATCCTGATTACCGCTTAATTAGTTGATGCATTTCCAACTCTTTGGGAAGTTTACGCGGTCGTAATTCCAATCAGTTTTGCAACTGCTGAGCACTGTTTTCTCTGATTTTAGAGAGTAAAAACTCGCGTACGTTTATCTCTGTCTGAAAAAAACTTAAAGTGTTGCTACTTATGAGCACTGCATGAACGGAAAATTTTAATGTCTTTGGACAAGGTGCAGATTATAACCGCTTTTGGAGGTATGACATTAGGATTGTCAAAGGCGATTATATGAAAATAAAAAACATTACAAGTTACTAGTTGGATCAGCGTTAATATAAATATGCAAATATACTCAACGAGTGACTTTATTCCTCTATAAATTAATGTAAAACAAAGAGTTATGGTAAAACCGATACCGTACTAATTTAAGGTGGCTCAATACAGTTTTTGAAATATGACAAAATCGTGATTTAGATTTAATTTTTTGAAGAGAGGTTTCTTGACAAAAATTGCACCACATATATTGAGCAATCTTCTAAGAGTTGAAAATTGTTCACAAAAGTGACGTCATTACCGTTGCTATGGTAACAATGACGTTTCAATATAGCCGACATTTTACCTTAAGGTTTCAATATAGCCGACATTTTACCTTAACACATTTTAATCGAAAAAAGGCCGGTTACCCCCATTCTTTATTTCGTGAAACGTTTTCATTCAGAAAAATGAATGATGTGAACAAGTTTAAAAAAATTCTGTAGATCAGAATTTTTAAAAAATTAAAAAACGTGATTTTTCGTGATAAATATTTTTTGGATCTACGGATTTTTTTAAAATTGTTCACATCATTCATTTTTCTGAATGAAAACGTCTCACGAAATAAAAATGGAGGTAACCGGCCTTTTTTCGAGTAAGATGTGTTAAAAGGTAAAATGTCGGCCATATTGAAACGTCATTGTTACCATAGCAACGGTTATGACGTCACTTTTGTAAACAATTTTCAACTCTTAGAAGATTGCTCAATATATGTGGTACAATTTTTGTCTTCTAACAAGAAACCTCTCTTCAAAAAAATTAAATCTAAATCACAATTTTGTCATATTTCAAGAACTGTAGAGAGCCACCTTAAGTACTACTACTAAATTCTAACTAAATTGCAAATGTAAACACATTATAATGCCGTTTCCTGACCATCAAATTTCTGTCAAATCTTCCTCCCAAGTCCAGGAAATGGCAATTCAGAGACTCTAAATTTAAACCTTGAACCTGCGGCGCTTGATTCGAGCCTTCGGCCCTCGTTCACCAAGCGTTATATTACAGGGGCGCATAATTGATTGACAGCCAACTGTCTCCCCCCCCCCCAGAAAAAATTGTACCCAGTAAATTGTATCCATGACGATATACCAATAAAATCGCTAATTACTATATATATATATATATATATATATATATATATATATATATATATTATATAAATTGTATATTATATATACCGTCATGGATACAATTTATATATATATATATATATTTATATATATATATATATATATATATATATATATATATATATATATATATATATATATATATATATATATATATATATATATGTCAAATCGTTGTTGCAAACGACTCCTCGTGTAATCACAGCCACACAGCTGGGAATTCTAGTCAAGAATACACGCTAGTTCGAATACATACACATAGTTCAAATGTTTATGCATAAAATTATATATGTGAAAATATATTTGGACTTCTAGGCTACCACGCATAATATATGAACTTCGAAGGTAATGCTGCCCAAGGAAAATCAGTGCATCCTAATATTAATTCCACCAAGTGAAGTGCAAGAGTCTAAGTCATTCAAGTCCGCCATTTTCAGCGGCATTTTGGGGGACATTTTATTGTGTATTGGTGATTTTAAATAATCATTTGAGACATAACATTGTTTTTGTTTGTAGAAATAACTGTACCTAATCACAAACTAATCAACAACATTTTAAACACAGTAGGATTTAAAATTTGCATAATTATACAAGAAATAAATTGCATAGTGCACACATGCTTTCTAATGGTCAGAAATTTTCCAACGGTGGACCCACAATGCATGGCTATACATCTATGGTATAACCTCGCCTTTGCCAATTAATGTTAACAATAAATAATTCGATTTTGCAAGAAATTGCTAAATAAATCTCCATTGTATACACTGAAAAATAAATTCTCCGCAGATATACATATAAATACAATTGGTAGCTCTTCTCCATGACATTTCTGGCTAAAGTAGGTAATGTTTCAAATTAATATGTTGGATTTACATGTCGGATTCATACAATTATTCCAAATATCACAACAATTTAAATCACCCAGAGCTCACAATCACACAAAGCTTTTTTATTGAGACCTTGGTGTTACACAGCATGTGGTATCTTTGAATGTCAGATTGACAGTAGCTTTAGGTAGAAGTGATGATAACTTTTCGATTGTATGAATAAGCTTTCTTCTGATATACAGTATATAGTTTGTTATTTTATGAAAATCGTTAACTGCTGTAAATCAAGAATGTTTTCTATGATATCTAGTATAAATCGTCTCTACAATTTGTGAGGAATTCTTCGACATAACATTATTTTTGTAGTTATTTATAAAAGCATTTGAAGATTCTACTGATTGGCTGTGTGTCTCTGCATGGTATTATATGTAACATACTTAATTAATATCCAGAACATTTTTACCTCCTCCCTTGAACCATTGTAGTCCCAATTGGACATTCCCATACTCTGAAATAATTTTGCAGTTTGCGCTGCATCCATAGTGTTATTCGTGCCGAATTTCTTCAATAACGTCTCCGCTGGGATAGTCGCAGTATTAGCGGTCACGGTCAGTGAAACGAGCAGGAAGAAACGCCAAGCACATAACCAGGCAATCCAGACACTCATATTAATTCCTCGAACAGCAATTATATATTAGCAAATATATTTAATCAACAAACAGCATGAACGCTAGATTTCTTAGCCGGCGAAATTAGTGCGTGCACCAACTGTAAAAAAATTAAGGCAAAGGTCATGTAAATCACGCTTAAGGGCATGTTATAAATTGAATAAATCATTAAAAATTAGCCCAGAGCTATCAAAATATGATTTGAAAGTCATAAGCCTTAAAATTTTCTTTTGAATATTTACTAACTTTTGAATACGAGATTTGTATGTAATTCTCCAGTTCAAGTTGCCGTACCGTATTAAATATGGATAAACCAATGCATAATATATATATTACTCATTAGTTTTAAAAACGCGGCTATCCTCGTAAGATGCATTCAGTGGCTTAAAGCAAGTGGGGGTCCTTAGGCGTATTTTGCGTGGGGGCCCCTGTTGATTGTCATTGTTTGACTGAGATATTATTATAACTCCGCTATCTGATGCTGCTATCTATGCTATTTTTACATCTTATATGTGGAAATGTTGAGGTTATTGTCCTGAACATTAATGAATCTGATTTTGCGAATAATGTTAAGGGGAAACCTGTTTGTCAACGGTTTGCGAAGTGTCGGGTTGCAGCGAATTGGAAAGGGACGGTGGTTCGTGAATGTGTTGTTACGCCTAAAGACGAAGAATATCAGCTTTTATTGCAAGCTTCGTTTCTAGTTTGAGTATCCCACAATCGTTTGTGGTTTGCCAGTTCGTGTGTTTGGACTTTGTGCTGATTCCACTTGAAGTTGATTTGGTTGCAGATGGAGATAAGTATACCATTTTTTATCGAGCGATTCCTTATGAAGAGAATACGTTGCTTCAGTGCGTTTGCTGTCCTACGGAAATTTGCATACTTTATGATCCTTTGATTGCCTTTTTATGCCAACCTCGCCAGCAGTCTTTTGTTTCAACATTGCCTATTGGAACAAAAAGGTGCAAACGACCATGTCTCTATTATGCAAATTCCACAGCGTCCTTCCATCTGTTACTAATCGGCGATTTGGTATTTAAATTGAATCCAGGACCTGATTTCGCAAGAAACTGTTATATAAAACCTATTGTTTCCGTGAGGACAAGTCGGGTTTCAATGCTCATCTCGCAACGAAATGAAAACAATTTAATTAAGATCAATTGTTTGCCGGCGATTCGCAATGTTGAACACCAATTGTCCATCTGTTTATTTAATATGCTCGCTCTGTTAGAAATGAGTCAGCGGATATTATGGACTATATTTGTGACACTAAAATCGATATAATTGCTATTACTGAGACATGGCTTAACCGCTTAAGGCCGGCGCACACTAGAGCTATGTGCTTAGCAAAATGTCATTCGTGACTGTTGGCGTAAGGAGATAGCTCTCGTGTGCGGGCGATTTACGAACGACTTTTGTCATTCGTGCCACTTACGCCAAATATCTAACATGTTTGATCATTTCTGCCTCGCGTGCCAAATTCTTTCTGTGTGCGGCGAACGAAAGCTATCTGCTTACGGATTGTCGTAACAGCACATGCGTAGTATACGAAAATAAACATCCAAGATGGCGGCGCAAAATGAATTGCTGGCCGAGGCAATTTTAGAGGACAAACTTACTGGCTATTTCTTTCACCGCACATTCCCTTTTGTCTCTATTTCTAAAATCGGCAGAACTCACATCGTATAAACATTTATATTCAGGCCAAAGTTCGACAAGTTTGTCCTCTAAAATTGCCTCGGCCAGCAATTCATTTTGCGCCGCCATCTTGGATGTTTACTTTCGTATACTACGCATGCGCTGTTAAGACAATCCGTAAGCAGATAGCTTTCGTTCGCCGCACACGGAAAGATTTTGGCACGCGAGGCAGAAATTATCAAACATGTTAGATATTTGGCGTAAGTGGCACGAATGACAAAAGTCGTTCGTAAATCGCCCGCACACGAAAGCTATCTCCTTACGCCAACAGTCACGAATGACATTTTGCTAAGCACATAGCTCTAGTGTGCGCCGGCCTTTATGCGTGTTCGTATTGTTCTACTTGTCTCACCGACATAAACTTTCTGACGTTGTAGGCAATTTGTGAGATAGACCGTATTCTTGATGTGACACTGATTTGTTTTCTCTGAGAGTTTGCAGGTATCACAATCTATTGTACGGCTTAGCTTGTCTTTCCTCTGGGCGTATATTTTAGATATCAGTTCTTCGTATAGTGGCTAGGGCACGGCGCTTGAATACCTCATCAATATAAGGTAATTTGAGATAGATACGTCCCCCCTGATTGTCACGTTGTAGTTCGGTATGCAATGTTTGTTGTATTACTGATCTTACAAATTGTTTGGGGTATCCATTACTCGTAAATATTGCGGTTACT